AGGGAGAGGAATATTTGGAATCTGCAACTATATTGACCATTTCTGCTTTCCTTTCTTATAAAACTATTTTAGAGAATCCATTTTATATAATTTAAGCCATCTTTAATAAAAATTATTAACCTGTTTATTATTTTATTTTGTTTATAATGTCTGTGTAGTGTATGTTTAAATTTTTTGTATCATTCCAAAAATTGCTCTTTCATAATGCTCATATTTCCATATTTTTGGATCTTTTGTATCAAACCTGTGAGCTTTTTCAACTACCTGTATTGTTGTTGAGTATTACATGTTGTCCTAGAGCTGTTTTTTAAAATTATTTCCTTTATTACTTACAATATTTATTATAAAAGAAATACAAAAGACTAGTGTATTTATGATGTAAATGATGTAAGTATGAGACACAGACTGCTCTCATGGATTAGCAAGACATAGTTATGCGTATATACATAAGAATACAACATTATCAAGATAGTCTATTCAACACCTCTCCTGTAGTGTCCATTAAGACTCGCTCCTCTCTGTCTTCTACTCTGTTTGCTATATACATTAATGACCTTACCCTCCTGATCCATCACTCCCAATACCTTATTTATGCATATGATTTGTAAATATACCTGTCTTTCCCACCCTCCGACCAATTATCAGCAACAGAAAAACTTCAAGAAGACTTACAGAATTTGTGACTGAGCGAGAGTTAATAATTTGAAGTTGGATGCGGAAAAAAGGAAGTCAATCTTAATAGACTCCAATTACCTCCTTAAAACTATTTCTAATATTCCAACTCTGTTCCTGCATGATAATTACATAAAATTTTACCCCATCGTCAAAAACCTTGGGATAACCTTTGATCAAACGCTTTCCTGATAATGCCATGTATCCAATATTTCTCGCCGTACCATTTCCATCCTAAAACGTCTAAATTATTCTCGTCATCGATTTCCATTTGAAACCCGTAAACAGGGACGCCTCTGTTTCCCATTTTATGCAGAGTTGAAGTGGCTTTGAACTTCCTACCGTCTTAAGTATTTCCTGGCATCCTTCTTCTTTCAAGTCATCCTATCCCATCATTCTTCACACATCTTCAAGCTCCTTCAATTCAAATCCTCTGTTTGTTCTCGCAATATTCATTCCCGGGCTTCTGATCTATACGTTAGACCCACCGAACCACTGCCTTCGACAGATTGTTAGAATCCGGTTCGCGACACGGATTTAGAAAAGAGGACTTATTAGTTTAATGAAGGCCTGCCGTGAACAAGAACCCAGGCTTAGAACCTACTTCATGAATAGAACTCTAACGGTGCTGTTGACCGATGCTGCCCTTGACTGCAACTATACAGCACTGAATATGCTTCGGCAAGGACCAATGACATAGCCAGCTGAGAAGAGCCTCACAGAATCATGGAAGTGTAAATCACTGCATGGAAGATTTTACAATTCCCTGAAAACACCAAATTTAGAAGCTTCAGTCCGTTGGTTGACTACAGTAAAAATGTTCCTAGAGACAGAGGGATTCCTTCTGGCAATACAAGAACAGGTAATGGCAACATCCTTCTACAGGAAGTATATTTTATATGAAGTAGTCGATGACAGATGACGTCTATGTAAAGCCACAAATGAATCGATTCAACATGTTACCTCTGGCTGCCAGGCATTAGCGAGTAAAGAATACCTAGCGAGGCACAATAATGCTGGAAAAATCGTGCATCAGGTTCTGGCACATTAATATAAATTAATAACAGGCCTTAAGCCTTTTTATAGATATCAGCCGGAGGCTATATTAGAAAAAGAGAATGTCAAGCTATACTGGGAACAGACTATGATAGCCATAGTATTCCCCACAATAGACTAGATATAATGCTCATTGATAAAGAAACAAAAAAAGCCATCATTATCAAAGTTGGAGCTCCTGCTGATGATAATGTAACTAGAACATTAAATGAAAAAAAATCAGAAGTATCAAAAGCTTTGTCAGGAATTAAGGCAGTTTATACCGGCTGGTGGAAGTAAAAGTACACTACCCATTATCGCATCCAGCAATGGATCAATCCAGATTCCTGAAGGTACTCTAAAATACTCTGAAAGTACTTGGATTAAGATGGGAACTTCAGGTAATCCAGATAACGGTAATGCTGGGAACTGCCAGCGTTGTTCAAAATTTTTTAATATTCCAAATTAAATATTCAAAAAACTGTACCCTGGACCTCAGTCCGGGTCAGAGAATTGAAAAAATAAATAAATAAAATAATAATACTTTATTTATTCTAGGGCGAGTACTTTTAGAATAATACAGAAAGATAGAAATGCGGGCTAAGGCGCCTCAGAGACACATAAACAGAAATACAGAGTAATTAAACAGTCATAGTAAAAAAATAAAAATATATAAGTTACTTTATAATTTTAATAAGTTAATAATAAAAAATAGAAAAAAATATGAAATAAAAAGAATGAAGAACGAACTAATAATTTATATACATATTTACAATGTCATGGGGACTGGATGGATAAGAAATTATTGAACAGACAGGATTTAAAGGTAGAAAGGGATTGACGAATGTGAGAAGGGATGCAGTTCCAAAGGGATGAGGATTGGATAATAAACGATCTGTCGAAGGCAGTGGTTCGGTGGGCCTAACGTATAAATCAGATGCCCGGGAATGAATATTGCGAGAACAAACTGAGGATTTGTATTGAAGGAGCTTGAAGATGTATGAAGAATGATGGGATAGGATGACTTGAAAGAAGAAGGATGCCAGGAAATACTTAAGACGGTAGGAAGGACAAAGCCACTTCAACTCTGCATAAGATGGGAAACAGAGGCGTCCCTTGGTATCCCGAAGATGAATTGTACAAAGCAATTTATTAAACGTTTTAGTTTCGCCTCCAAATATCCGGAGTCGCCCCCATATACCGTGCAGCAATAGTCAAAGTGGAGAAATATTAAGGAAATGATCAGGAATTTACGGGTTTCAAATGGAAATCAATGACGAGAATAATTTAGACGTTTTAGGATGGAAATGGTACGGCGAGAAATATTGGATACATGGCATTATCAGGAAAGCGTTTGATCAAAGGTTATTCCAAGGTTTTTGATGATGGGATAAAATTTTATGTAAGTATCATGCAGGAACAGAGTTGGAATATTAGAAACAGCTTTAAGGAGGTGATTGGAGTCTATTAAGATTGACTTCCTTTTTTCCGCATCCAACTTCAAATTATTAACTCTCGCTCAGTCACAAATTCTGTAAGTCTTCTTGAAGTTTTTCTGTGGCTGATAATTGGTCGGAGGGTGGGAAAGACAGGTATATTTACAAATCATATGCATAAATATGTTATTGGGAGTGATGGATCAGGAGGGAAAGGTCATTAATGTATATAGCAAACAGAGTAGAAGACAGAGATGAGCGAGCCTTAATGGACACTACAGGAGAGATGTTGAATAGACTATCTTGATAATGTTGTATTCTTATGTATATACGCATAACTATGTCTTGCTAATGTATGAGAGCAGTCGGTGTCTCATACTTACATCATAAATACACTAGTCTTTTGTATTTCTTTTATAATAAATATTGTAAGTAATAAAGGAAATAATTTTAAAAAACAGCTCTAGGACAACATGTAGGTAGTTGAAAAAGCTCACAGGTTTGATACAAAAGATCCAAAAATATGGCAATATGAGCATTATGAAAGAGCAATAAAGTTTTGGAATGATACAGAAAATTTAAAGATACATTACACAGACATTATAAACAAAATAAAATAATAAACAGTTTAATAATTTTTATTAAAGATGGCTTAAATTATATAAAATGGATTCTCTAAAATAGTTTTATAAGAAAAGAAAGCAGAAATGGTCAATATAGTTGCAGATTCCAAATATTCCTCTCCCTCCATCTATTAAGATTAAAATATGGCTAAAAATAAAAATGGATTTGCATTAATAAAGGTAGGCCATTTTATTAAATTTATATATTACTGCAAAAATAATAATATAATTATAATTTTTATAATATAATTTTTTTTAAACTCATTTATGGAGTATTACAAGAATCTGTCACTTGGAACATTAATTTTAGTGAGGTAGGATATCATTCACACTAAATAAAATAAAATAAAGTTTTAATTGAAGGGATTTTTAAATGTATGAAATAGGATATAAAATAACAGGTTTTAGGTCTCATAATTAGTTAAAGTGAATTGATTTGTTTAGATCCATTATATTATTACACATGTATGTTTTCTGATGATTTATATAATTTCAAATGTAGTTTTAATTTAAATAAAGTTTTTTTATATAAATGACCATTGTCTCTTCGACAAGGGAAAGTGGATCGAAACAATTTTAATTTGTTTTTCATAGTAAAGAATTGTGAATATTAGAAAACAGCTAATTTGTATGGATTATAAAATTTAAAATTTCAATAGAAAAAAATTAATATAAAGTTTCTTTCAGTTATGCTATAGATTACCAAAGGCAGAAACGTGTACGTAAATTGAAATTACATAATAAAAGAGATTAGTAAGATAAAGAATCGAAAAAACTTTTTTATTTATTAACATTGCAAGTAATTATTTTAACAATATAATGTAAGGTAGTTATATGATTTTAATACATATTTTTAGTTTATATTGCCAGTATATATTATTAGCAAATCAGTGGGAAAACATTTTAATTAAAATAAAGCAAACTGCTATTAAGATTTTGAAAATGGCATTTTGGTATCTAAAAATTGTTGGATTGTTAGTTGATTAATCGATTGTACAAAATTGATTGAATGAGCGCTATCGACTGTGAATCACTATTATAGATCATTCCTATTAGCAAACTGACATGCAATATCACTAAACCACTAAACCACCAAGATCTTCAAACAATTGATATTCAAAATGAATTTCTAACAAAAGAGTTTATTAACTTAGGATGTGTTTTTACGTAGGCAAACAATGAACCAAACAGCTGTTTATTTTTAGTGTAAATTTATTCAAGAACAATTTTATAGTCAACTGACTTTGGACCTACCTTTGACGATATGTCGAGACCTCCGCACAGAGCGTACACTTGAAGAATACTGAAAGAGGTCGCGATGTAACATCGATGAACGCATATAATTAGAGGAATCGATTTCTATTGGCTGAAAGGATATCGACTCCTTTATAAATATCATTCTATTTATACTTACTTAACCTATACATATCGTTACGTATTTAATAAATAAGTAAATTTATGATGGTACGGAAATGATTAAACTTAGTTATAATTGCTTTATTAAAAAAAAAAAAAAAATTGGTGTGTCCACTCACACAACTTCCCTGGCCGATTTAGAAAATTTATACAAATTGAAATATATCTTTTAAAACAAAAATTGAATTAGAGTAATTTTATTGAACAACCAATCAGAAAAATGATCAGAACACCATTTCTTTTATAAACTAAAGCTATGCAAACGGTTACATGAAACATCGGTGGATGCCCAAAAAAAAAAAAAAATAAAAATGGGTCTTATCCCCATTGATGTCATTTTACAGGCCCTAAATGCCCAATGTTCATATACATCTTCCTCTAAAATACCTTTAATATGGTTTATTTTGAAAATTTAAATCTCTTTTATTGAACTTCAAAAAATGGCTAAATATAACTTTCGAAAGAATTCGATAATTAAATAAAGGAGAAAAAAAGAAAAATGCATATCCAGGTCGAAAACGAATCTCCTGAAATAATAGTCAGAAGGTATACGTATAATATATCGTTGGAAAGCGAAGAATTTTAGAAAAAATAATATCAAATAGAGAAAGTTGTAGAAGGTAGCGGAGAGAGACGAAAAAATATGTAAATAAATTTTTTTGAAAACTAACATTATTTAACGTAAATCACATCTATATTTCCAAGAAAATGAAATGAAATTTTCTTACTAAATGTAAACTTTTAAATTTATTTCTAAGTTTGAGAAACAAGTATTTAAATCCACCGAATCAAGCCAATGCCATTGTTTAAAATACTATTTAATTGTACTTGTGTGAAAGAAGTATTAAAATATTTCATGGATATGTTTACAACCTTAAATATACTTACTATAGTTTAATAACTCTAGATATGATATTATATTTAAATAATTAGGTACCTATTTGTCGTTTATTCCAAAAAATCATCAAGTAACCTTTTAGAAAATTAAATAAGTGAATAATTTGATGAATTTTCTCTTCGTGAAATCCCAACATTATCCACTTACAATTAGTGTGACAACTTTTGACCTATCCAAGACAGGTATTGAAAATCTCGTAATTTAATTTTAGTAAACTTTACAATGGAAAATAACAGTTTAATAACTAATATTCCATAATCATTTATAGGTTAAATATTTCGATAAACAATACTTTCATATCTCCCAAGACATATATGAGCCTTTCGGTTAACAGAATGACTAACTCCAATTTCATCATTGTTTATTATTAATTTTAGTTTCTAGTTGCAAAATTTATACCTTCATTCACAGTTCTATATTTCAACACTGCTATCACCTACTCTGAAATCAACTTACTCACTGTCTGTATAAATATATCTTTTCCGACTTGAAATATCACTAAAATGACATTACTCAAAAATGTTGAAATTGGAGTTAGTCATTCTGTCAGCTGAAAGGCTCAGAGACTGAAGTTGTGTGGTTTATAAAAGCAGATGAAGTAACTAGATATTTAATACCTACCGTCGATGTAATAAATTGACTTTTTTAAAGGTCTTAATGATTTGTTATCTGTAAGCTTTAAGTTTTAGCTCTGTTCAAAAATTATATATTAGTCCAACAATACCAAAAAATAATTTCTATTCAAAGTAGAGCGGTAAGCGATAGTTGTATATTGCGCGCACCAGATTATTTTTGTTATTGCTATAACCTTTATTATCTTAAGTATCTTTCTATTTATTTTTATATCGTATATAGTTATTATATTCTTTTTTTTTATCATAAACTTTGTCTGAAATTTAATAACCTTTGAAAGAATGGGCTCTGTAAAATAAAGATCGGTTGATAACCGCATATCGGAAATTTGACCCAATCGGAATACTTTCTTTACCTAGAAGCGGAAGGAAAGTAATAAACCGTGTAGTAAATAGATTACATTATATCATTGCTAATACTGGTTTCATTTTTTGTTTTTTTATTTTGTAGGGGATTTAATGAACCTTCAACAGATTATTTATAAATGTTATCATACTATGTGAATTAGACCCAAAAACGTTTTATCTTTTCATTATAATTTATTTTCCTGACTTTTCTCGGGTCTTTATTACATGTACGAAAATTGAAAAGACTTAAAGTAGAAGATTATAGGAAAGTTCCATCAAAATCGTTTGAGCCATTTTTGCGGTACAGTCTCTCAAGTCATATATGAGCCTTTCGGTTAACAGAACGACTAACTCCAATTTCGACATTGTTTATTATGAGTTTTAGTGATGTTTTATTGGCGAAATTCATACCTTTATTCGCAGTCATATATTTCAACACTGCAATCACCTTCTCTGGAATCAACTTACTCAATGTCTGTATAGATATAACTTTTCCAATCAGAAATATCACTAAAATGACATTACTTAAAAATGTTGAAATTGGAATTAGACATTCTGTCAGCTGAAAGGCTCAGAGACTGAAGTTGTGTGGTTTATAAAAGCAGATGGAGTAAATAGATATTTAATGCCTACCGTCGATATAATAGACTTTTTTAAAGGTCTTAATGATTCGTTATCTGTAAGCTAAAAGTTTTAACTCCGTTTAAAATGCACTATGAAAATTTTATAATAGCCCAACAATGCCAGAAATAATTTCTATTCAAAGTAGAGCGGTATGTGAAAGTTGTGCGCACCAGATTTGTTTTGTTATTACTATCACCTTTATTATCTTAAGTATCTTTCTATTTATTTTTATATTGTATTTAGTTATTATATGTGAATTTTCTCTTTTTCATTTTTTCTTCTTCTTTTTTTTTGCTTTAAAAAAAAAACCAGTACCACTAACAAAATATGAAGCGTCTTGGGTTCAATACTATGTGAAGAAGAAATGTTACTAGCTCAACCGTTGTGCAGTAAAATGTCTGCCCACGGCTGAAGAAAAATTTCTTTTGCTTGTACATATTATTAATTTTGTAATTATTTCAGCCTGTAAATAAATCTCTGATCTTGAAATACATTTTATTTTTGCTGCTTTATAAACAAATTCAACCTAACCCCTTCACCTGAGCTAGCATAGTAGCATAAAAGTATTATGTCCAATTTAAATAATGGGTAAGTACTTTACATTTTCTATATTTGTCCCTATGGAGATTAAAGGCGAGAAAAACCAGGCGCCCAACAAGTTAAAATTCCAATAGAAAATTATACTTAATAAAAATGATTTTATTTCTTTTTATTTATCCTTTTTTTTGGTCATAAACTTTGTCTGAAATTTAATAACCTTTGAAAGAATGGACTCTGTAAAATAAAGACCGCATATCGGAAATTTGACCCAATCGGAATACTTTAATTACCTAGAAGCGGTAGGAAAGTTACAAACCGTGTAAAAAATACAATACATTATATCATTGTTAATACTGGTTTGATTTTTTTTTTTTTAATTTTGTAGGGAATTTAATGAACTTTCAACAGATTATTTATAAATGTTATCACAAAATGTATACTATTTGAATTAGACCCCAAAACGTTTATCTTTTCATTATAATTTTTTTTGGGGGTCTTTATTACATGTACGAAAATTGAAAGGACTTAAAGTAGAAGATTAAAGGCAAGTTTCATCAAAATCGTTTGAGCCATTTTTGCGGTACAGTCTATGGAAAAACATTTCGCTGCTTCTGTTGTGCAATGAACGCCTGATTTATTTCATAGGAATTGACAGTAAAAACTTTACAAAACAACCATTAAGAAAAAAAAAAAAAAAAAACTCAGACTACTTGTTCCCAAGATAATGGTGGCATAGGCAGATTGACCAATTGATCTAAATATGTTTTTTTGAACACAGGAGGCTAAGGAAAGTAAAGATCCGTTAAAAACCACCGTAGGAAAGTAAATTGTAAGATGGTATAAGATCTGCATGCGGCAATCTGGAAAGAAATAGTCCAAAACATGCTGAGGTGAAGAAGGCTGCTTCAGGTGGCCAAAGATCTACAGAACCAACCGAATATATATATATATGTATATATATATATATATATATATATATATATATATATATATATATATATATATTATATATATATATATATATATATATATATATATATATATATATAACAATTAATTTTACATCTACAACGAATTTAATCAAAATCGTTAGAGCCGGTTCCGTCAATAAAATATTTATATGGAGGAAAATTGTTATAGGAGTGATGTCAGTCCTCAAGAGCTACAAAAAATGTTCATATAAATAATGGGCCAATATTCAGCAGAAATGTAGGAATCCAAGTTTTGTGTTTTTTTAAAAGTAATTAATGTTTTTTATGGAATAGGAAGTGATAATTAAATAGATAATTAATTTAAGTAATTATCAACTGATCCACTATTAACTAGACAAATTTTAATTCAAAAGAGAGTAGAGTTTGTCATTGTTAAAACCATTAAAAGAGGAATTTTGAGGAGCCAAAATAAGCTAAGTTCTTTTTTTTTGTTTTAAATAATAAATTATCCCCGATTTTGCTTTATGATCATCTACTAATACTGCAGATACCCCCCTTTCAGAAAAATTTCCTGGTTTAATATGCTTTAAGTTAAGGTTTAATTGGGAAAAAACTTGAAATTCAGCTCAAATAGTGTAAAAAATTATGTGATTTTTTTATCCTGTCACCTAAAAGTACTAGTGTATTCAGCAAGAATTATTATAATTAATTGTTGTAAAGCTTTTATTTCTTGTTTTTCTCATGAGTTTTTCTTATTAATTTAATGAGGAAACGCCCAATTTCTGAGAATTTTCGCAGATAAAAATTTGTAGGTTACTATGAGATGAAGCCATTCAGGAAGTTTTAGATGGTTGTTATTAATTTTATAAAATGTTATCGTTACATATGTACATATGTATGATGTATCGGGCTACATATGTATGATGTATCGTAAAGCTAAAGATTTTAGAATCATTAATATCTAACTTGTAAAGTC